TTCGGGGTTGGTTAGTTTCAGTACCTTTCTGAACTCAATTGTTAACACATGCATTCCATCCATGGCTAGACTGGCTGTTTTAACCTTGCATGTTACACGTAACCTTGAACTTTCATGTTCAAGGAGTGTAACTCAGCAACAAGCGCCAGGATGATGGACAGTTCCTGGGTCCCGTGTTCCATTTCTGGGAACCTACCCCAAGTAAATCATTGAAAAACAGATCTGAAGAAAAGCTTTATGAACACAGGTATTTATTGGTCGAAGCATTTCAAATAAGGAAAGTTTGGCCATAGTCGTTCAACAGTTGTTTAGTAAAATATGGCACATCCGTTTGATGAAATGATCATTCTGAAAACGATGTAACAGATTTTCAGTATCTTATTTGAGGTTTAACATATATACTACAAAATTCAGCCAATTTAAATGTGCGATCAGTGACTTCATAAATTTACGCAGCTGTGCACCCGTCAGCACAACCCCATCTGACATCACCCGTGAGTTTCCTTGTGACCCAGAAATCCCACTCCTGGGTCTCTACTCCACGGAATCGAAAACAGGTGCTCAAACAGAAGCTTGCACACGGGTGTGCACAGCAGCGCGATTCACAACCACCAAAAGGCGGAAACCACTCAAATTTCCATCGACTGATGAATAGATGAAACCGCCTGTTCACGCAATGGAATACGTTCCAGCCCTGAGAAGGAGCTGCTGGTGTGTGCACTCCACTCCAACGTGGGGGAGCTTCAGAAACACTGCTGGGGAAGAAGCCGGACCCAGGTCCCTGCAGGACTCCACATGGCACGTGCAGGAGAGGCCCATGACGCACGGGAAGTGGCCGCGTGGCTCCAGGGGCTGGGGGAGGGCTGGCGGGGAGTGACTGCTGAGTGGGGGTGAGATTCCCCTTTTCAGGGACAAACAAGCCCTGAAACTACTGGTTTGTCAGAAAAGTCATGATGCATTTTTGCAACGAAAAAACAGAAAAATACATCATGGCTTCTCCGACAACCCAATAGTTACACGACTATCGGGAAGGTACTAAATACCACGGAACTGTACGTTTAAAATAGTTAAAATTGCTCATTTCATCTTATGTGTACTTCACTATAATAAAACAAATCAATTGACCCTACGTGAGCAGGTTTGACAGTCTTTTGAAAGGTAGTGCAGTATGGTGGAAAGATCACAGATTTTATATGTGGGGCGATTTGATGGTAACTCGGACGCTTTCTTGCTCTGTGACCTTGGCCAAACCTCTTCTCACAGTTGTAGAGGCTGGAAGTCCAAGATAAAACTGTCACCAGGGTTGGTGACGCCCCGGAGGCCTCTCTCCTTGCGGTGTAGACGGCCATCTCCCTGGTGTCCTCACATGGGTTTTCCTCTGTGTGCGTCCGAGTCGTAATCTCCTTTCCTTATAAGGACGTTAGTCACATTGGACTAGGGCCTCACCCTAGCGACCCATCTCACCTTAATTACCTCTTTAAAGACCCCGTTTCCAAACAGGTATATTGGGGATTAGGATCTGCCTTCTAAATTTTAGGGGGGACACAATCTGTCTGTAACAGTTATCAAGCGACAGGTTGCCTGCCCGTAAAGGAGGAGCTGACCTAAGGGGACACCGGTGACCTCCCAGTGGGAAGGAAGAGACATCATGTCAGCAGAAGAGCCACGGGTGTTAGCACAGGGACCGGCCAGGGCTGCAGGACGGCTGCCGAATGGGACGAAGCCAGGGCGTGGGACCGCCCCGAATCCCAGCTGTGGAGCGTGGGGACACCCGAGTTGTAACTAGAGACGGAACAAGGTAAGATTGCTCTACGAAGACCACCAGCCCAGTGGCCCCCGCAAACCTCTGCAGTTTCTCCAGCCCCTGACCGCCCATGGGCTCCCGCCAGGCAGTCCCCGGAGCCGGGCCACAGCCGGCTGGGCCTTCAAGTGGCCAGGTCGCCAGCCCGCAAATGGTCAGCTGGAGCGGAGGCCTTGCTCCCAGCAGCTTTTTAGAGACGTTACAAAACACAGCGTGCTGTGTGAACCCAGGCCTCTCCCACCTTCCCTGTTTTGTAAACAAAGGAGCTGCCAAAATGGAGCCTCTGTCCCGCCCTTCCTTCTGAGGGTGATAACGGGGACTGTCCATCATTTTTATTTCCATGCATGAGCCTTCCCAGCGGGGTCGACACTCTTCCCCACCGGCCCGTGCACTTTTGTCCCCATCAACAATTGGATCTGGCACCTACTGATGTTTATTTCAACTTCATAATTAAAGAAGAATGTTAAGTGTACAAGTCAACTGTATTCCAAGTGCTGGGAAGATCTGGAACAATGTAACCCCAAGAGA